ATCATTTGAAAACCAACAATGTCTGGACGTGATGTGCGAAAGAGCCAAATGCGTTGAGCTCTACAGTGTGTATGAAAACTGGGATTGCGTGTCCATGCGGACGCTTGAGGTGTAGAATGAGGCGAGAGCCACCTGTCGGTACTGCAGACTATTATTAAACAGGCTCACACACTTCAACAAGGTGCTGAGCTGTGAAGTTTCTTTCTGTTGGCTTGTTAGCGGACCTCGAATGAACACTGGGTCACAGAGATGATTACGTTATTGCTGCTTCACCTCCGACAAAAAACCGTATTCGAATTCACATAGGGTGTTTTAAAAGTATACTGCTGCAGGATGAATTAATCTCAATCACTGGACAACTCCTGTCAGATTTACCCAGCAAATTTCAACATATAAGACTAGGCTAGTTCAGCGGAAGATAACAAGAGACCATAAAATAAAAATTGTGATAGAGCAGGCACATGCGTGGAACTAGGATAGAAAAGGAGATAGAAATTTGTGTTAGAAGTCTAGCTGACAAAAACCTAGTGCATGAGCACCAATGCGAGGAAATGGGAAAATCTCATTTCTGATGGGGGGTTCTAACTCGCAGAGAAGATCTGTATGACGTGACAGACCCTTCATGCGTCTCCATAAGGCTCCGGTCTCGAGTGTTCAGGTTTTACTCCACAGATGGCACTAGTGGTAGATATTACATGTCTTTACAATTTTTCCCATTTTTTTTCTCATCAGAAACTACACGGCGTCACAATAGTCCCCAATATAGATAGAGATTGTTTTTCTAAAGGGTATTATCCTATTGACCCTTAATATGGGGACGCAGTGTGTTTACTGTAAGGTATGAACTGAACTGATAAGTATTATTTAGATCAACATTACTCTGAACGCCCCAAAATTGCCACACCCAATTGTGCCACTCAATCAGAAAATAAAAAAATTCGATTGTACTTGCCCACAGTAGGAGCCGGGATAGCGCAGTGGGTATAGCGACGGGTTACTGGCTGAACGACCGAGGGGTCGGATTTCGAGTCCCAGTAGGGTCAAGAATTTTCTCTTCTCTACGTCGTTCAGACCGGCTCTGGGGCCCACTCAGCCTCCTATACAATGGGTACTGGGAGTAAAGCGACCGGGGCGTGAAGCTGATCACTCACCTCAAACTTGTGCCGAGGTCAAGAAAATGTGGGTCTATATATCCACTCCCCCATACGCCTTCATGGTGTAGTGCTTAATTAGTTAAGCACAGGGACAACTTTACCTTTACCTTTTATTTGCTCACAGTGTTTCATAAATTTATCATACGTAAATCAATAAATTTATTCACTAACATCCAGGCTAGTGAGCATTACTCAGGTCATGAATTATTTCCATGCTTGAAACTGACTAACCAGGTCTTTGGGTTTGCGTCACCACCCCACCCCGACGTCTTCCTATCAATTTATTTCATACTTCAAGGGGTTAAGCTAATAATTTGCCTCTGTGACTTAGAAAGTTGTAAATATCTGTCTTTCTGTGAAAACATAAGCTTTTTTTTTCCTCTTCCCTTGTTTAAAGGGAGGTATTTTCGAACTTCATGTCAGTCTGCGTTCTAAGAAAATTAGTTTGAGAGCTCGTTATCGATGATCCATTGTTACGAGGCTTATAAAATGAAATTATATATGAGATTGGAAATAGAAAATAACTAGTCTGCCGTTTACCTTCATAACCTTACTTTCCATGACCTGAAGATTATTATTATTCTTTTTTTACTGTACCAACCGTAATGAACAGGTTAGCCCATTATCACAACCGCTTTGTAATTTTCCCTTTCTCGAAGTTAGAACCTAAATTTACTCACAAATTTGACGTGTTACACCTGCCACGTGCAATTGGACAGTTGTAATTATCGAGGGTACAAGTTCCGACTTCGGAAGTCCGCCCATGGTCCCTTTTATTACCACGAAGTTGTGTAAGGATTTATCTTTGAAAGCACCCTCAGGGTTAACCAAGCGGAAAGTTGGGTTTGCGCGCGATACCGAATCGGAACCCACGTGACACGTGGGGTTGAGAGAAGGGCGTAAATATAAAGGAGTGGAGGGTGATTACCCATCATTTGGTTGCCTGTGCAAAATATAATCCCTTTTCCCTTGTAACGGGAGCATTTGCATGTGCAGTTTTCTTTGTTTTAACTCTTTGAAGTCTGAAGAAGAGAGAGAGAGAGAGATAGAAGAGAAAATTGAGTTAGAGATGTTACATTTATCGCAGGGAAATAAGAAAATTACCGGCTTTGAATGTTCCAGGGAAGTTCTTGCTCGTCCTCCTGGCAAAGATACAGACAACAGAAGAAACAGAACACTAAGGAAAAAAATAACAATGCAGTAGAACATATTTTGGAGTAATCTTCAGGGACTTGTATGCTATTTAGTTGCCCAACTGTTGGTTAGATGTCAGCACGTATCCAGAGGGAACTGCGACAGGGCGTCTCAACACAGGTTCTTTTTTCTGTCTTCAAGGAAATTCTGAGAAATCTCCCATGTGTTAAGTCGCTACTGCGTGCTTCATGTGAGCTGCTCAAGTTTCAAATTAAACTAAATCGATCCAGTTTACTCTGGAGGCCCTCAAATTATCTTTCAAAATTATATAACTCTCGATTAATAAGAAAATAAAGATATGGGATAGCTCAGTCGCTATAGTGACTGGCTATGGGCTGGACGGCCGAGGGGTCGGAGTTTCGGGCTCAGTAAACTCAAGAATTTTCTCCTCTCCACGTCGTCCAGACCGGGTCAGGGACCCACCCAGCCTCCTACCCAATGGGTACCGGGGGCTCTTTCTCCGAGTGTAAAGCGGCAAGAGCGTGAAGCTGACCACTCACCTCCAATTAGTGCCGAGGACAAGAGAACGTGGGTCTATACATCCACTCCTCCATATGTCTTCATGGAGTAATATTTAATTAGTTAAGCACAGGGAAAATTGTTACCTTTATTTTACTAAGGGAATAAAAACTCCGCTGTCCTTATGCTGCAGTGGTTCATATAACGTGTTACCTAACACGAATTAAATTATTTTAATGAACACCCAGGCTAATGAACACTGCCCGTGCTCTGTATAATTTTCATATACTAAACCAGACAGCTTCGACTTTTCAGGTCCTTTGATTTTCTCTATTTTCTATCACGTTTCACACACATAAAAGGAAAATAAGTTAAAGCAATGAATAGTATACAACATGACTTCCACGTGATCAATCATTTTTGTTGCAAATATTTGGAAAATAAATATGAAAAGATAAAATTGTCCGTGAAACAGGCCATGGAGGCCCATAGTATTGTGAGACGTCGAGGTTCTCACGTTTTCTAAACAATCGTCTCACAGATGGCGGCGAGGTTGTAGTACCGCTCTTTACCTCCGGGAAGATTCTTGCTAATCATTTCTGTTAAAGGCTTATCTTTTATAATACAAATCCCGTTCTTCATATCCACTGCAGTTTGCGTCTTGGGGTGCGGAAGTGGCGTTATGCCCAAAATGTGCTTGTCACAGCTGCGTAATTGCTCAAAAACCTCGTGCTTTGCTGGTTGTGGAAGGCGTACTGTAACATTGTATGTAAACTTGTTTAAATCGAAATTGTACCGACTAGGTTTATCCTCCTGCCTATCCATTTCTCTCAAACAGACGTGACCGAAATAAATAACATAAAAAAGGTAAAATGTTTGTCGCTGAAATAGAGTGATTGAAAAGCTCTGAAAGGGCTCTAATACAACGGCAAATAATCAGCACGCCACTGGACACAAGCACGCACGCACGCCCGTCTCTATACGTGNATATATATATATATATATATATATATATATATATATTTAAATTCCGTTCCTATACAGTATCATTTATAGGTTATGTACGTCAGGATAATCGATTCGTACAAATATGAGAATGTGACACGTCAAATTTCTGCTGCTGATGAATTCTCCATAAAGTGTAGCAGCGAAATTGTTTTGTAAAAGTGACATTGGACTGAATGACAGTGTTTACGGCGAGAGACGTATGTAGTAAATAAATAACGCGTAAAGGAACAAATAGGATAGCTTACTATGTTCGAGGTATGAAGCACATATGTCTAAGTTAAGAACCACGTTTTATGATCACGGCCGCGTAAGAGGTCAGAAATATTTTGCCACTCTCGTCCTTGCTGAAGTAACACCAAAAGGTGATAATTACTGTGTCCACAAACCATCAAGTTCCTGCCCTTCTATTCTGAGTAGCAGTCGGAACTTATGTAATACTGAAGTTGCCACCGTCTTCGGGAGATAACTCGTATAGATACCGGCCGGGGCGTGAAGCTGACCACTCACCTCTGACTAGTGCGGAGGTCAACAAAATATGGATCTATACATCCACTCCCCAATAAGTCTTCATGGCGTAATGATTAATTAGTTGAGCACAGGGTAGCGCAGTTGGTTGAGGCCCTATGCTACAAGCCGGAAGGTCGCGGGATCGAATCCCGTTGAGATGGATTATTTTGCAATTTACCCAATCCTTCCAGCCGCACTATGGCCCTGGGGTCGACTCAGTCTCTAACAGAAATGAGTACCAGGAATATTCTTTGGGGTAAAGAGCGACCGGCGCATAAGGCTGACAACCTTACCGCCATCTATGAGCCGATTGTCTAAAAATGTGGGAACCTCAACATCTCACAACCCTATGGGCTTCCATGGCCTGTTACAAGGATACCTTTACTTTTTTTTTACTTACTTTGCAGGGATAATTTTACCTTATTTTAATCAGTAGTTCGACTGTAGTTTAATTTGCTGGAATGTTGAACATAGCACCGATTATTGCAGCTGAGGTTTCTCTTACTTCCCTTTAACTACCAAGAAAATACCATGGATCTAAAGTACAGGCGAGCCAGCATCTAGTGGCGCTGAGACGCTAGTATCTGCATGCCAGACGGTGAGCTGTGTGAACCGTGACATTGGCAGCCGAGCAGTAGCTGAGCCCACTGACTGGTTTGTGAACATTGCCTTGAGCGGGGAAAAACTCTCTCCGAGTCTCCTGTAGGTTGAAGACGCGCATAGTCAAACAGGACACACCTCGTTGTCTGCTGTACAGCTTAACTGTTGCTTTTACTGTTCTACATGTGGCCGTGAAGAGAAAACAATAGAACATCTACAGGAAATTACAAACGCCGACAGCAGGTGAGTAGAAACGTTGACACTAATTACATTTGAACAATAGAAATGTTTTATCATCACACTGTTACACAAATTAGCTAATTAGCATGACGTAAATACATAAGCATTTCTTTATAACATTGCTTTGTGCTGAATGTAATTATTTTTGTCATCATAGAATTGAAGCCCTGAGTACTGACTTCAGGTCTATCAAAGGGCAATTTATAAGAAACCAGTATTAACCCTTTAAAACACGGTGGTTACAGTATGTATCACCCTCTTGAACATTAAATGTGCGGAGAGTTTATTTAAACAGCGATTATTTCTCTAGATAATATTAACAAGTTTGGTATTGTAATTTAGATGAAGTGTGTTTTTGTAGATTACGAACTGAATATTTAAATGTTATATAGGCAAAATTGTGAGGGCACGTGGTAGCGTAGTTGGTTGAGGTACTATGTTACAGGCCGGAAGGTGGCGGGATCGAATTTGGATGAGGTGGATTTATTTTCAATTGACCTAATCCTTTCAGCCGCACTATGGCCCTGCGGCCGATTAAGCCTCTAACAGAAATGAGTACCAGGAATATTCTTGGAAAGTTCTTGGGGGTAAAGGGCGGCCGACGCGTAAAACTGACAACCTTACCGCCATCTGTGAGGCGATTATCTAGAAAATGTGGGAGCCTCAGCATCTCACAACCCTATGGGCCTCCACGTCCAGTAAAGTGGATACCTTTACTTAACTTTTACTTTACTTAGGCAAAAATGTGACTTCAGATTGTTATATACATATTGTTCAATATGGGACCGTATCCATCTTGAACATCACACAGATATAAATGTAAGCCCATACTATTATTCCGGAATCAGAATTTGACCTCTTTAAAATATTGATTATTGAATGTACTACTTGCATTACCATTAATATAGTCGACATTTTGCCTACAGACTATATTTATGTGCTTTTTATGATTCCCAGAATAATCAGGGATTGTTTTAGTAAGCTACATTAACTGGACGCGGCATAGCTCAAGCGGTTAGTCGCTGGCTTCCCACCGCGGCGACACGGGTTCGATCCCGGGTCTGATAAAGTGGGATTTGTGGTAGACAAAGTGACGCTGGGGCGGGTTTTCTCCGAGTACTTCGGTTTTCCTTGCCAGTCTTCATTTCACCAAATTCTCCATCATCATAATCACCTGGGCCAGGTACCATAGGGCAATCAGTGGGCGCCGCGCCGAGTGGACCCAGTTGGACTCCACGCCCCACTGAGCGGAAAAAAGAAAGCCACATTAACAGACTGGTCTCTGTAATGGAAAGACAGCGTGTTAGTCTATAAGTTAGAAAATATGTTCGTAATTTTCATTCAGAAGAAATACGTGCTGCAAAGAATTAAAGCATATTTGTGGCAGGCTACTGAACGACGTTATATAGGGCCCAAAATATGTTTAAAATTAGAGCTCCTTTCCTTAAGATAAGTAATGTGTTCCTCACATCTGAATTATAAAGAAACGGGGTTTTGTCTGATGGAAGTGTAATCCGTGTATTTCTTAAATTCATATTCTTTGGCTTCAACGGATTAAGTCATGTGGCTAGCGCCGATCCAGAATTAATTATAAAATATTAATTATTTGTCACTCGGCTCACTGAGCTGGCTGTAATTTCATCGCAAGACTGTCCTTCACAGGACAGAGCGACTCAATAGAAAAATGTAAAATGAACATCGTAGGAACAAGGAAATATGTAAAAAACAGCTGAAAGAATTTATATAATATGACTGTAAGTTTTAAAAGAGGTTTTAGCATTAAATGTAACATTAACAGTAAGTGAAAGTAATACAAATATTTAAATTATTTAAATATCATTTTAAGAAATCAGAGTATATATGAAGAAAAATTAATTGTAATATGAAGCAGGAGATATCGTTAACCAAATAAATTAATATATTTGGAAGGTTAAATATTTTTAAGTATTAAAATATTTTAATTTTTAAGTAACATTATAAAAAATTTACAATGGAAGCCATACTGCTATATTATTAGTAAATAAGTAAAAATGTATTTTTAATGAAAATGCAGAAAATTACTTACTATTAATATCCATACTTAATAATTTTATATGATACGTGGATTACAGCTGTAAACTTCATTAGCGTGTGAACATTAAGACATACATTTCTTTTAAAAAAGTTAAATAGTTCCTTCCAGTGTGACTGGTTAAGGTCTCCTTATTGCAATTATTCATGCCCTTACATGTTTCGGTCTTCAGAGGGACACCTTTACATCAATATAGTTAGAAGCCACTATTACAGTACATGTTCTAATAAAGAAAATAAGAAAATCTTAAATAGTTCCGTCCAGTGTAACTGGTTAACTTTTTCATAATATTAGTGTGACGGACCAGAATGAAACAAATAGAAAAATAAATAAATTTCTTTATTAAAATCCGTCACAACACAACAACAAAACAGTTCATATTTAACAGTATTTTGCTACATGTTTCGGCTTTTTAGAAACCCATCATCATGCAAATGTAAAAATTAACGTGTTCTTAAGCTATTTCTAAAAAGCCGAAACATGTAGCAAAATACTTTTAAATATGAACTGTTTTGTTGTTGTGTTGTGACGGATTTTAATAAAGAAATTTATATATTTAACACAACAGGATCCTTCCATTGGATGAAAAACATAAAGACACCTTGTAATTTTATTGTAAATACATTTAGAATTAGTAAGAAATTTGCAAACTGATGTATGGCTTGGGAGGAGAAGAGCATAAACGTAGGGCTCGTGAGGGAATCCGGTCTGATGTGCCCTGAGAGCATAAATTTGTTTGCACATACAGAGTTAAGTGTAAGGGGTAAGTGTAGATATATCTTCCCCTAATATTACAGTGACTAACTCATGGAGGATGGCAGCAATAGGCCATGTATTTTTACAGCGCTTTGTGAGGTAAGCAAAGTATTCAAAATTTAGTTTCGAAACGCCAAGATGTGGGACCATTATTCATAGCCAGACAAGAGTGGGATTCTTGTGGTCTATTTTACGATGTTGTCAGTCTTTAGACTGCACAGCTTGGAATGTTAGAATGAGAGACGACTTAGAAAGGATTTGGAAGGCAATGGGCATGTCCTAATCGATGTACTACCTGAAATTTGCCTGGAGGGACTGAGAAAATACTATGAAATTCCTTAGCCAGGATAGTAGATATTTCAACGGAGAATCGAACAGAGTTCCTACCGAGTACAAGACTCAAGTGTTGCAGCTGCGCAAACTCTCTTAATACTTAGACGTTAGGGTGTAGGCACTTGATGTGGAATTGATTTATTCGGTTTAGGGCCCTGTGGTAGGGGTTTGTGAACACGTTAATAAACTATTTCAAGGGTATGGGGGCAGGATTCGAGCGAGCTTAGAAATATGCAGATCTCGGAGGAAATGAAATGCGAAGGTGTTACTGTGAGAAATCTCCTGGCCTAAGAGTGTCGCGTTTTGTGTTGAAAATGAGGTACTGGGATGTTAGACTCCCTCCTAGAGCCACTCTTGTAGCCAGAAACTGCTGCGGTTGTACGTTTTACGTCTGTCAGAATTGCCGTATTCGTTTCGACGGCAGCAAGAAATGTCCGAGAAATAAATATTTGTTCAACAGTTTCTAGTTCAAGACCAACAATGTTCAATTTGCGCAACTTTCGGCGCAACTTCCGCAACCGGGATTGAAGAAAGGGTAGGACATATATCGAAAGATTGGACTGTCTCAAGGTCACAGATTTGACCGTTTTAAGAGCGTAAAATAGAATCAGACTCTTGGCTTCCAGCATGCCACGAGAGTAATGCAGGATTGGGCTAACTGTGGAACGTCACACTGTAATAGAAATGTGAGGCTCTGGTTGTGTAAGACAGTACTGCTCAAGATTCATCCACACAGCTGCACTGTAAAATAGGGAAATATATTTCACGGCGCGTCACGTCGAGAGCCACAGTTCAGTTGCTCATGAGCGAGAGCTGCGTTCATGCATGAGATATGTTCATAATTTAGCGTGCAGGTCCGTTACTAGGTAACGACGAAACAATATCTGCTATTACGCAGCAGATTCTTAATAAGTAAATATACGCAGCCGTTGCTAAGAACCGCCTTAACAAACAAACACATTCCCACGGAAACGATTGTAATCCAAAAATAAACGGTGTCTTCTACTCTGTCCGTGCCAAGTAGTAGTCAATGGGACAAGTTTAGAAGTTAGTCAGTTTAAGGGAGTCTGTGAAAAGAAGACTTAGTTCGTGTAGTTGAGAACGGAAACTGAAGAATCTCCATTGTTAAGATCCATTACTGGGAAACGACTAGTGACAACAGACTGAAAAGTCTTATCGTCTGCTGTAGTGATTTGTAAAGTGTGAAGATTGGTGATAATGTTATAGTTATTTGTAGTTACGACGTATAAGTGGTCAATAAATCCAATCTCCAATCCAAAACCCAGTCTATAGTCACTCATTCACGTGACAGTATTATATTTCATGATTAAGCCCTGGCATCTCACTGCAGAGGCCCCAGCTTCAATTCCCGAGTGACTACATGTGAGGCTGATGTTGAACGAAGTGCTTCTGCAGCTGGGTTCTTTCCTGGGCTACCTCGTTTTCTTTCAGCTGACCATCTTCCCATCACTGGCCCTGCCCTAGAACATTCTCAGTTTCTAGGTTAGAAGGGCCTTGTCTCTGAGCCAGCACTTGGCTGACTGCAAAGAAAGAACGTTTCTCTTATTTCTACAAATAATGATAATGTTTTTATTCACAGCCCAGTACATCTTTTCTTTATATAATCAATTGTAATTCCTGGTACTCATTTCTATTAGAAGCTGAGTCCACCACAGGGCCATATTACGGCTGGAAGGATTAGGTCAATTGAAAAAAATCCAATGACCTCATCGGGACTTGAACCTGCGACATTTCGGCTTGTAGCATAGTGCCTCAACCAACTACGCTAATTAAATAATTTTCCTGGGGAGTAAAGCGCGCCCGGCGCGTAAGGCTGACAACCTTACCGCCATCTTTGAGCCGTTTGTCTAGATAATGTGGGACCCTCAACGTCTTACAACCCTATGGGCCTTCACGGCCTGTTACAGGGATAGCTTTACTTTACTTTTTTTAATTTATTGTAATATGCATTAAGTTTCAAGATGAATTTAATAGATTGAGAGAATTTTGGAATACAATATAAATGTCGAAAAGGGACATGCAGGTACTCAGAGGGATATTCGTATAAGGTAAAAGGTAAAGTACCGGTCACAGTGGCCGCGTGATCTAAGGCATGAACTGTCTTCCTTCGCTCCAAAGCTGGGATGGGCTGATCCCCCTTCGAGGAGTCCTATCATCTGTGTAAAAGATCCTGAGACTGAAAAAGCGGCCAAGTCCCCAGAGAGAGCTGTAGAAGCGTAGATGGATGCATAGGACGCAATAACTTCCTTGCACATCACAGCTATTTCGCAATCTTCTTCCGATGCATCTATATACAATTATTTCATCTGATCTTGAAACTCGTTAATTAAGTAAGTGATTGCGAAACATACGTTTAGAAATTTTATAGTCAGACTGTACATTGAGAGTTTGTCTTAGACTGTGACGCGTGTTTTAAATTCAATCTTCTGGGTTTTTCCATACACAATAACCTCAAGTTGCTGGTTGCAGGAAAGGCTGTAGGGTATTCGTTTATACACGTATGACAGTTATGTAGATGACAGATTAGGATGATAAAGTTAGCATAGTACACAGTACCTTTATCAGTGGTAGGGGAAAAGAGAAATAATATTTTTTCTTTTCAACATCTCGAGCTTCTAAGATGTAACGCAATGTACTTTGGCAGACAGATACCAACATATCGGGAAAAAAAAATAAGAGCATAATTCTTGATATAGTTGGACTGAACAGCTTAGTAACGCTCAAGACCTGTATCCAAAATGTGCTCGGTTCGAACTTCTGTCTTGGTACCGTCCATTCTGACTGAGTTTTCTCGTGGCTTTTCTCAGTACCTCGAGACATATGACGAGATACGACCTCGGTTAGAGAGCTGCGATAGCGCAGTCGGTATAGCGACTGGCTAGGGACCAGACCGAGGGGTCGGAGTTCAAGTCCCAACAGCAGAAATACTCGTAGTTTTCACTCCTCCAATCATCCAAACCGGTCCTGGGGTTCACCCAACCTCCTGTATAGTTAGTATCGGGGGCTGGCAGGGCGTGACGCTTAACACTCACCTCCAACTAATGCCGAAGTCAAGAAAATATGGATCTATACATCCACACCACATACGCCTTCATCTTTCATGGGATAGTGCGTAATTAGTTAAGCACGGGGACAGCTTTACCTTTAGAACCTCGATTAGGGTCTGGCCATATCCTTCCAAATCCATTCTATTTAATCATTCATCTAAGTTCCATCCGACAGCACGAAATCTCGGTACTGAAAGTGTCGATAAGTAACCCATCAGAGGAAGGTACCGCTGTGAGTACCTCAGTTATCACACAATATTTTGTCACGTTTACGTGTGTGACTATAGACGGGGTATGGATTGATGAATTGACAATGGCACGTAAACGAAACTTTCCAAGCGCCGGTAACATATCCCTGGGCCGCGCCATAGCTCAAGCGGTTAGTCGCTGGCTTCCCACCGCGGCGGCCAGGGTTCGATCCCGGGTCTGGTCAAGTGGGATTTGTGGTAGACAAAGTGGTATGGGGGCGGGTTTTCTCCGAGTACTTCTGTTTTCCCTGCCAATCTTCACCAATCTTCCACCAAATGCTCCATCATTATAATCACCCGGGGCAGGCTACAATAGACAAATCAGTGGCCGCCGTGCCGAGTGGATCCAGTTGGACTCCACCCCACAGTAAATGAATTAAAAAACATATCCCTGACCAAATGAATATCTTTTCACCTTGAAAGAGAAGAGTGGTTCATTCTTCTTTATGTATTTTCAGAGGAAACAGTAGCCTTGAAGCGGTCATATTGACAGTCTGTCTCCGTTTAATTGTTTAAAACAGTTAACCAGTTTTAATGACACTTGTTATGAAAGTCATGTCTTTGGAGGTTTTCCAACTTAGAACTTGTTAACTGCGGAAAAGTCTACTTTTGTAGGTCTGATGCTAGCATCACTAAATATTCAATAACGTTGTCCCTGTGCTTAACTAATTAAGCACTAGGTCATGAAGGTGTATGGGGGAGTGGATGTATAGATCCACATTTTCTTGATCTCGGCACTAACTGCAGGTGAGTGGTCAAATGCACACCTCTGCCCCCAGTACCACGGGAAAAGAGCCCCCAGTACCCATTGCTTAGGAGGCTGGTTGGACCCCAGAGCCAGTCTGGACGACGTGGAGAAGAGAAAATTCTTGACCCTACCGGGACTAGAACTCCGACCCCTCGGTCGTCCACCCCGTAGTTAGTCGCTATACCGACTGTGCTATAAATGTTGAATGTTAATACATCTTAAAATGATTGCACGATTTTTTGTACAATGTGAAAGAACAAGAAAATATTCTTTCACTTTACTTTAGCTTTCGTTTCGGTGGCGAAGGTTAGTTGGTTGAGCATATCAGAGGGGCCGCGTGGTGTCAGGCACCAACCGCTCGTCATCTTCCTAAGCTCAGACATTGAGATCGTGGTTTCGAATCTCACTCGAAATATGAATGTCTTGTCTCTTTGCTTTTTGTGAAGGTAGAAACCATTCGACGGGCTGATCCCCATGCCTAATAAGTTCCAGCGACTCTCTGCAATATTCAAAATTTCAGAATTACTTGTGATAGGGAGTAGGTTAAAGAGCGCAATGCATTAACTTAGGATTAGTTTATCCTAACGGTAGTATTATTAATTCGGAAGAACAGATGATGAGATTTGACCTCAACTTTGTCAGTTTATCGACAGAGTTGCCCTTATTCGCAGCAAAAAGTAATTCAACGTTGCTTATTGAAACACTTAACGATCTGCCTCGCCGACATCGTCCTTGATTCGTATTCTTGAAGTGCTCTGTTCGAAACTCAGCTGGAATATCGGCTGTTCTAATTTAATTCGTGATTTTCTTTGGCTCCTCCATGAAATAGTCGGTATAAAGGCAAAACTATGACTATAACAGGCTGAGGAGCCCCAAAAGATTGTGAGGCGTCGAGGTTCCCATATTTCCTAGACAATCGGCTCACAGATGGCGGTAAGGTTGTCAGCCTTACGCGCCGGTCGCCCTTTACCCCGCAAGAAGATTCCTGGTACTCATTTCTGTTAGAGGCTGAGTCGAACCAGGGCCATAGTGCGGTTGGTAGGATTAGTTTAATTGAAATATTTAATGATCTAATCGAGAATGGAACCCGCGACCTTCCGGCTCGAAATAGAACCTCGATTGGACCACGAGCGCTTTTTTTACCAAATATTTTACAATTTGTCTCTCACGTATCATCCCACCTTTCGAATGTATGTAACCTAAAAACTGACAAGATAGCGGAATTGCCCATGAACCCAACCTGACGGAAACTACTTAACCGTACACTGAATCTGAGGTTCTCTCAGCGGTGAGCGGTGGCTATGAAGAATTCTGTTTTCCAGCATATCATGCAATTAAGTCCGGTGAAATGCCATGCCATAACTCAGGCGGATTGTCGCCGGCTTTCCACCACGGCGACCCGGGTTCGATCCCAGATCAATTCATGTGGGATTTGTGGTGGAAGAAGTGGCATTGCGGCGGAGTTCCTCCGAGTACATCCGTTTCCCTTGCCAATTGTCATTCCACCAACTGCTCTATACTCATCTATCATCTGGGACTGGTACAGTAAGCCAAAATGTTTAACGAAGTACCAAGTGGACTCAGTCTCGCCCACCCCACAAAAAATAATCCAGTGAAAAGTCAACGGATATCTCCTTATTTTCTGCTTCATGCTGATTTCTTAGTTGGCTCACTTTTCCACTGAAGATAGAGGCTGTATGTTTCTTCGAAATATCCGTTGACTTCTACCGGTATATGTGGCCCTGTGTCCCAGAAGACAGAGCTCTACCTAGCTATGTCCGGCATTGACGGTATTGGCTATATTGATACCACGTGGCTCATAATTAACGACATATTCTGAAACGTCTTTTTAATCTCGTCACTGATTTCTTTTTCTATATTTATTATTATCAGTGATGTTATTATTGTATTCAGATTATTATTAATATTGAAAATGCTTAAAAGTTATAAGTAAATATTGATCTTATTAAAGGCCTTTAATGAACAAAGTAGGCCTACAGTGCGCAGACGCAATGCGCACCACACATACTTGGAAATATGTAAGTTGAGAGAGTACTTCATTTGGCAGGAGGAAACTGGTAGAAGCAGAAGTTAATCGGGCAAGACGAAGTTAATACGGGCTACACAAGGTAATAAGAAATTTAATGAGGTCTGAAGAAGTTGTGTATATTACTTATTATAAAGTAGTGTGGTAGAAAGGGAAATATGGCTAGTATATATAGGCTTTATAGATTTTAAATTTTTGGGTAGTTTTATTTATTTAAGCATATATATTTTTATATCCTCCGAATACGGCTAAAAGAGGTGAAAGTGTTGTGAAGGGTATGTGAGATAAGTAATTGTGATTAGTGATATTGATGCAGTAAATACGATATAGGAAACGTATTCTTGTATAGGCTGACATTGTTAGGCATTTCAAAACTGTCTCTGAAACTGTATTTTCTCTATCTTTGTAACATACCAAATTCATTTCTTTCAGCCTGTTTAAATGTTAAGGGGATTTGAAAGTTCCATTTAAGATATTTATTATATAATATGTGTACTTAAAGTATTTTCATTCTTTAATTTCTCTTTGACTGGGGTTTGGTAGTATGCCTATACAAAATGGTAGCGTTGCACGGCCTTTCAGTCTACTGTAGAGAATTGTTAAACGGAAAATGAAGCCCATATACTGTTAAAATTTTAAGAAACCTATGGATTATAAAAATAAGTTTAATTATTTGAACAGGAACAGCGGCGTATTTGTTCGACAAATTTCGATTTTATTTGATTGAATGGGGCAATTGATTTAGAGATCGTACGATAGAGGGGGAGGTCTTCTTTAAAAAGCGGTTATGACTTCAAAGTAAAATTTCCTTCAAAATTGTTTATTTCAGATTTTCAGCACTGAAATTACGTAAAATCGTTCAGTATGAGCAAAATTCGCGTAAAAATGCGCTCACACTTTTTGGTAATGTCCTTGAATTGCTATTCTTTGATTAACCACTATGTAAGTCTTCTTAGACTTAATAATAGTACAGGTCGATTAATTTTTGTATTTGTAACAAAATTTACAGTTGAGGGTATAACAACCTTCCTGCGTATTCCTCACCTCCTGGGCTCATATCTCTGGCCCATAGACAAGCTGTCCTCAATATATTCATTGTTTCGCTCAATCTCATGTAAATTCTATCTATAGTACTCTGATATAGGGCACACATCTTCAACGTTCTTTCAGTTTAATCATTCTTGATCATCCTGATACTGGAATCGATATGAACTTTGTTGCTGAAACGCGTCAATAAGTAATTTAAAAATATTTATCTGAAAAATTAGCATGTCATTTCTATATGTTTAATTTAGACTTTCAAATGTTCTAATACCAATGTTAATTATTTCAGGAAGTCGATATTTTTAGTACTACGAACCGTTCAGGACATAGCAGGAATATGGTGTAACGTTGTAACATTTTAACTTTTCAGATCATACGATAGGTCAAATAAAAGATTTAAAATTTATAGAAGGGTTGAAACAGTCCTCGTACAAATTTTATTTTTCAAGTTGTAATGAGTTTATTGCATATATGCGTACGTATGTTTCGAATCAAATTGCGAGAATTTTGTTTGCGAAAAAGAAGCATGGTCAGATTTACCCACTGGCCCCTCTCCTGATCCAGATCAATCCAATCCATATCACTCAATCCTATATCTCTAAGATCAATTTAAAAATATTCATCCATCTACGTATTTTTCTTATCCCCCATTCGTGCTACATTCCCTGCCCATCTCTTTCTTTTTAACTTTATCATTCTAATTATACTCGGAGGAAATACAAGTTACGAAGCTCCTCATTATGCAGCTTTCTCCAACCTCCCGTCACTTCATCTCTCTTCGATCCAAATATTCCCCTCAACACCCTGTTCTCAAACACCCTCAGTTTATGTTCCTCCCTTAATGTCAGAGCCCAAGTTTCACACCCATACAGAACCAGTGGCAAAATTACAATTTTTTACATTCTGATTTCCCAGTTTTTCTTAAAGGGAAATTACGTATATGTTTTGCAAAGGTTTGTCATTTCACACAGCCACCATATTGGACTTTTGTATCAGTGCTCATACAAGATGTATCCGGCCGGAGAGTCCTGGCAACAAATTTGAATAACGTTGTCTGACAAGAATATTGACGTCACTTGAACACTTCAAGGTGATGATTATTAAAATAAGTCTCCCTTCCACACATCATGACTTGCTGCTTTTAGAATGTAATGAAATATGCATATCACAAAGCACAGGCACATGTTTTGAACGGTGCAGACCGTAAAATTTAAAAAGTAAAACAACGTACTTGTTTGAAGATAGTGTATCTGTTAAACTGCAGTCGCATTTCTTCGTGGTGTTCTACGTAATGCAATTTATAGCGCTGATATTCCTAAAGGATAAACACCGAAATCATGGATTCATTGTATATTTTAACATGAAAGCATTATGTTTTAGGATAAAGAAAATCTTTATTTCACTGGCCTAAAGTAATGAGCAGGCTGCTTCCGCACTCCATAAAACCGATGTAAAGTGAGTTGACACAGCAGAATTTGACGTTCATACTCCGCCGTTAATCGCGTGTCTGGTTTATCACCTGCAACTCTGTACAATGTCGGATTAGCCTCCAGATGACCCCGCTCGTGAGTAAATTGTCAAAGTTTCCTTATAGTCTATGTATCCAAACTTAATTTCTGACAAAAACTGACTTGGAAATGGTCACTATTTTAGTCGAATGTTACCTCGAATAGCGTATTATAAAATTCTCCCATTTCGATTTGAAGGCATGGTCTAACTTGAAGTAATTTATTAAAATACTTATTGAAGTCCTACATCACTTCTAAGTTAGGTGCAATTTCAATAACTAAAACTCAAATTTTCGATGTCAAGTTAGAAATACAAGCGAGGGCAGTTAAATATGTAAATTCCTGATTTATGGGTGTGTTGATATAGAATATATTAAATACATTTTATATAGTATTAACCATTTGAAGCATGAATGGGCACTGGCCGACCCCCTTAGCAGATACAGGTTGTCCTGATCTTCTGAGCAGATGGTTATGTAGGCACTAAGACACTTGGCGTTTTCCTCCCTCTTTGCTTCTTCCTGCGTGAAGAGAGAAGGGTCGAACTGGAGACATGCTGCAGGTACAATTAATGAAGGTCATTCTTTTCCCACTACAATTCCTTAGACAGCTCTCGTCACAAAGGGAAAGCGACAGTCTTTTCTTCTTTCAGACTCCAGACTCGATAGCTGCACACTGATCATTTCTGTATCCATGTCCTCATCACTGCCGAATTTGCCACAAACCGGCTCCCTTAGTGTGGCTTCTTGAATGTAATATTCTCAGCAATTGGTTACCTAGGACATCCCAGGAAGATCTATCCAGAGGGTACCGGAGGATTATTAGGAGGTTGTTTTCTACGTCGCGGCTTATTTCTAACATAGCTACAGATAATTTTGTATTTCAACATCCTGTTGCAAACCTTTAATTAAACGTCTATGTATTCACAGCCCGTCAATAATGCAACAATTATTTATTTACCATTTAACATTCAACACAGCATATTTTGGCCATAGATTGCAATCTTCAGCTGTTTTAAGGCGTCCAACTGTTAGTTCTGAAGTGCGCTAACATCGCGCTTTGCAGTCCACTTAAAATAACATAAATAATTACTTAAAATCCATTAAATTTTTCTATTAAAATTTTTCGTAAAATCCTATTCCACCTCACAAGGGGCGTCGTCCACTTGTTTATAGAGATGTGTTTATTGCAGAAAGTTTGTTTTCCTGTCTGTTAGCCCGTCGTTTTGTTAAGTCTGCAATATGCCTCTCGCTTGTGTGTTGTTCCCTCTAGCAGTGTGTGGTGTGGTCTTCACTAGTGTTGTGCCCCAGGTTAATGGGTATGCTTTATCCTAGCAAGGGGTCAAATTTACGTGTTATTGATTAGAAAATAATTATAAGTTTTATAAATTTAAATAGGTCAGGTGAACCACAAGTTGTAAACCCGCCGGAAGCCAGAGTTGAGACGCCGTACATTCTTTAGCCATCCGGTGTCAGTTGTACAGTCTATAGAAATTGCTGACAAATTAAGTGACGACACGAGGCAAGTCTCGCCACCGCGCAGTTTGTTGACTTTAGGGGTTTTGCTAGAGCAGCTTTTCGTGATGTTGAATGTTGAGGGGTTCAGACGGAAAGAGCCGCGAAGACTCAGATTTTAAGAGTCGCTCGGAACAGTCGCGTGGTAGGAAGGAGACGCGATGGAGTCAGATGTCTTCCTTTTTCTGAACGCGAGTACTTGCGTGTGTTCGGATCACTGATGATTGTCAATATATGATTCTGGTTCAATGATTTTGGTTAAACTGTTTTAGTGTATAAACTTTGGAGTGTAACCGAGTAATTTTGAATTATTGAGTGATGGTTTAGATAGCAGCATCTGGTTTAGTAATTAAGTTTGGATGGTAACCATTTGTATTTATACTGGCATGTTGGTTTGAGGTTGTAGATAATGTTAATCGTGCGAGTTTGGTAATTTAAAGAAAGTTGAAAGTGCTCGTGCATTTGAATGTTTTGTTCGTCAACATTTATGCAATTGTTACATATAAAATAATAGAATTTTGTATGAAAAGGCGAATGATTTTGGCTATCACATTTTTAGGAGGATTGAGTTTGCTGGTTCATTTTGTGGAAAGTAACTGGACTCCTGGTAATTACAGAAACCATGTAGCAGTAGTGGACAAGAATTCAAGTAAAGAGAACAATTGTTGGTTGTATGAAGAGTCTGAAACAGTAAAAGCATGTCATCCTGGTACTGAGTTTGAAGTTACAAGTAAAACTGTTGGTTTGTGCCATTTAGGTTTAACGTATTATGTACAGTTAAATGTAGGAAGTTAAAACCAGGGGTTTAATTGAAGGTTGTGTGTGTATTAACAGGTTGTTTGTTGTAATGTTGTTTATTTCATTATATTTTACTTTATTGTTGTTGGTGAGCACTCGATTTATCTGTGGATCCCCTAGTGCAAGCACGTTTTCCACCTGACAGATTAAGAGTTATCCAGGGACGCCCGATGGGGGGTGAGTACAGTCAATGCCCCCTATCCGGGCACAAATTGGTGGAAACGGCAAGATTTAGGAAGAAATTTTTGTGTCGCAACCGTTGCGGCGTGATACTAGCCTAGTGTAGTGAAGACAGCACCACACGCTGGTTATAGCTGCAGCTCCTATTCTGCTTGACGCTGTGCGTTGCATTTAGAGCACGAAGAGTGGCAGAAGCAGACTAGCTGAACTGCCAGTGAGGTTGAGTATTTGATATTAGGCTGTAGCCAGTTAGAAGACGCGAATAATATTATCTTTTTGTGTCAATCTGGTATGACTTCATCACACGCATGTTTATGCGTGTACATGTTTCCTCTATTGAAGCATGGAAATCATTTAAATTGTTGATAAAATTGCAGTAACCACTTGCCAACTAGGGCATCCCGTCTCCATGACATCCGATTGACCAAAGCTGTTCAGAGTATGACAGTCCGCATGCGGACTGTATGTATAGCCACTACTGTACTTAGAACGTCAATGTATGAACACGAGTTTCTCTGATTCTTCTGAGTGTCTGTTTTATGTGAGATAGAAAGAAGTAAAGGAAAGAATTTGACGTCAAAATTTGTTAGGATTAGACTTGAAAGTTGGCTGCCCTACCGCATTTTAACCAAATAAACACCTGTACGTATGCACATGATAAATTTACGTACACATACAAGCAAATGGGCTACTAATATATTGACAAGAATATGCATACATAACATGTACCCACTTACGTACATGCATAACTCCACCGACACGTGGCTGGAATACAAATTAGTGACCCATCTTGTGTGACAAGGCGTGTCCTCATAGGAATGATCGTCGAGTTCCTGCTTCATATTCGGAAGGCTGAAAGCTCAAATCTCGACCAGGAAGTCCGCTTTCTTGACTGAGCGTTTACGCTGTTTTCCTCAATCTCTCCAGTAAATGTGTGAATGGTACTCAAATTAGGTCACAACAGCTATCTGCTATATCTTTTGCAATAGTAAACGGGCTACGGTTCATATTTCGGGAAAAGCTGGTGTAAAGCACTCTACGAAACTGATTCTATATACCTCGCCATAACATCATATAGTCACGGATTTTATTTATCTGTTATCTTTTCTCGTATTTATATAAGGTTATGTATGAAAACGTTATTAAAGCGAATATAACGCTGTGAAAATATAAGGAACACACCGAGGGGTGATTTCAAAATAGAAAATGTAGAATAATAAAGTTCTAAAAATATTTTGATATTTTGACCAAATGTCACTGATCAAACAAAGGAAGATGAGACGGGTATGAGAAATAGCACACATGATAACATGAAAAATATATACAACATTTTAGTGGGAAATGTACTTCTTGGGAGACAACACATTATATAAGCAAAAAGGCGGAGAAAAATTATCTCTGCAGATTATTTCTCACAGGTAAGGGAACTGTTGTTTTGAATTTCGACAGTAGATCGTATATGAGATAATAATATTAAAATGAACCTTAAATAGGTCATATGCATGGACCAGATTCAGGTAGCTCGTTTTATGGTCTTTTAGAATCAATATATTTTCGGGTTCTCCAAAACCCTGAAAATTCTTGTCCAGGTGAGCGACTCGCAGCTTTTTCGAAATGGTTCTGTTCAGTTTTATTTACGTGGATATGTATGTACATATGAGGCAGTTGTATAAAGAAGCGGGCCCCAGAATCACTATATCTCTAAGGGAAAATTAAACTTACTGCACTAGCGAGGGACTCAAAGCTCTGAATTTATAAGTAAGCAGTGTGGGTTCGTTAAGTGTGACTGTGGTTTAGTAGGAACAAGAGGTTTGTCTCTACATGTTTCAGCCACTCCTGGCCACCACCAGAAGGCACAGCGAATGCTACAGAGGAAATATTTTTCATATGCTATTATTTGAACATATTTTTCTGCAACAGTATCATAAAGAGACTGCACTGATTGGAGAAAATAAGATTAAGCAGTGAATACGGTTAATATATATTCCGTATATCAAGCATAATTGGTTAAAATCAGAATAAGTTAGTGGCCGTTTTTAAGTAGACAAATGAATGTAGCGACTCCCTGCGTTTCTACTGTTGGTTACGTTGAGTATTTATCGACTGCTGTACGGGTATTGCAGGTCGCATGTCCGTTTGAATGATATTGTGTCTATTGTGGCATGGGAACGTGCCTGGTTGAAAAGTTCATAAAATATGCAACGTAAGAAATAAAAAAAATGACCGCCATTACATCCTACTGTCTAACCATAGTACTCTTTAATTTTAACCCTAGATACTGACAATTTATTTTAACTATTATTTCGTCTTGAGTTTTACAAGTATTATAAGCCCCTTGTGAGGTTAATAGGCTGGTCACAATGAACGTGCAGTCTAAGGCATGAACCGTCTTAGCCGGCTAGAACACTGGGATCGTGGTTTCGAATCCCACTCAAGGCAAGGATGTCTGTGTGTTTACTCTGTGTACGTAGCGGCCTTAAGATGCGCTCAAGGAGTCCCACAGATTATGTATAGGTTTAAGAAACTGAAAAATCGGCTAAGGTCCAATTGGTTGTAGAGCCATAGAGAGAGAAGGAAGGAAGAAAGGAAGGAAAGAAAGAAAGATAGAAAGAAAAAAGGTATTATAGTAACAACCTATGCTCAATCAACGCATGTGAAGTAGTTCTCGGAAGTGTTCTTTTGCCCCCTGTTGACAGGCAACCATGGCTGAACCATGTAAAGGCAAACATTTGCTTATTCCTATTAAATTAGATGCACTTGATAAAACTACTAGAGCTTATTTATGTGTTAAGATACATTAGGGGCACGCAGTAGTGTAGTTTGTTTAGACACTATGCTACAAGCCGGAAGGTCGCGTGTTCGAGTCCCTATGAGATGGATTTTTTCAATTGACCTAATCCTTCCAGCCGCACTATGACCTTGAGTTCGACTCAGCCTCTAACAGAAATGAGTACCAGAAATCTTCATGGGGGATAAAGGTGGCCGGCGCGTAGGGCTGATAACCCTACCGCCATCTGTGAGCTGATTGTCTAGAGAAAATATGGGAGGCTCGACGTCTCACAGCCTTATGGGCCTTCATGATCTGTTACAGCGATAGCTTTACCTTTAGCTAATCTTACAAATGCAACCGAATTTAACCTAAATCATGTTTGCAGCAACGGAAATGTCCACAATTCTGTGGTTGCTCTTCCTGGCATCCTGTGTGACCACGGCATGGATGCACTACGCAGATTCCCAGGACAAGGGCTCGAGTTCCATCGTATTTCCAAGTAGCGTCGTTTCAGCACCAGCCGCCACTGCACACCGAGATAGGAACGCAGACCGCCTACATAGACCGTACTTTCACGCGGTGGAGGCACTCTTCGCAGTCAGTACTCGCTTGAATGCGCTGCTGGGGTCTCATGCCGAGGGGAACGTGTTGTTTTCTCCTGTCACTACCACCACTGCTCTAGCGGAATTGTTACTCGGGGCCCGTGGATCCACGAGAAGCCAAATCCTGAACATTCTGACAGCCGCAAACAGGACCAATGACACTGCTGAAGCCACAGCTGCCGAGTTCCATCAACATCTGAACAGTCTTCTCAGGAACCTGAAGACCAGCGCTGTTTTCGACAACTCGTACTATCTCCACCTGAGCAGTGCCTTCTTTTTCCGTTTGGGACTAAGTCCTTTCTCAAGTTTCATAAATGCTGCAACTGAACTGTATGCAATGGATCTGTTTTATTTGGACTTCGGGTGAGTATCAGAACAAGTCTGCATCCAAAGAAAACGACTATCAAAATCAGTTTGGATTGTTCTTATCGATGGCACTCAGATTTAGAAATTTGGTTAGCTTAATGTGTATTTAGTATATATATTATTTGTATGGGATCAGTAAGGGCCAAACTAAAATTAGTCCAAAGATTTTAGGATGGCAGTGACTGTGAAGATAGTTGTAGACTGGGGTGTGATAGGTAACTATAATTTAAGAAATATATTGCTTCAATCTTCGAGGTAGAAGTCCAAGACTGCAGCTGAGAACTGCCGCCCGCTGCTGACAAATCATAAATAAGTTTTCACGCATGAATTGCACTGCTTGCCGTGAAACATAATGCCGTCAATTGATTCATAAGTTAATTACTTCCCTTCATTCCAAATGTAATAGGCTTTCAGGCATGCTGATTCATCGGCAGATTTCGTAATGAACCTCGCGGCAATAGGCTCACCGGTGGCGTGAAGCGCAGAGTCCTGAACTAGTCAATAAAGTTAAAAAAATCTCTGTATAATTTACATTTTTTTGACGACTTATTGAATATATAACTAATTAAGAAATATTTGTTCCTTGTCTATCGATGGGACTTAAATATATTCCTTTCTTACAGCGGAGATCCATCGGGTTCCCTGGAAATATTGAATCGATGGGCAGCATTAAACACATTGGGCGCCATTGACAGAGTCTTCAGTCATCCTCTACCAGCGACAACAGCAGCTGTCTTAACCAATGCCATCTATTTTAAAGGTGCCTGGGAAACGCCATTCAATTCTCAGTACACGGTGCCAGGCAAATTCAAATATAACGATACTGACAGCCTGGATGTGCAGTTTATGAGGGGTCAATTTAATCTGAAGTATTCGGAGAGCCACAGGTTGGGTTGTCGCCTGGTATGCATACCATACAAGCACGGCCAAGCAGCAATGTACGCTATTTTGCCGGACACAGGTGATATGTACAACATACACCAATTTGCAACTGGATTATCTTTGGATGATTTCACAGAGCTCGTTGATTCTGCAACAACTACTTCAGTGACATTAATTATGCCAAAAATGAGACTAGCTCAGAATTTTAGCATTCGTAAAGCTTTTTCTCTCCTTCAGAAGCAGGCTGAATCTCAGATTCAAGAGGAAAGGTTTTCTTCCAATCCTCATCAAAACAATACGGATGAAAGTGAACTAACCTGCTGTAGTTCAAACTGCTCGGAGAATTGTCAAGGATTCTGCACTTCAGAAGACCGGGATGTCAACAGTGATGAAGGAAGTTTCTCATTTAACATGAGTGGAATCACCAACCATAAGAATTTTCAGATCAATGATATAATTGAACATGTTTTTCTTGACGTAGACGAAGCAGGCACGGTGGCTGCGGCCGTTGGGTCAACCCTCGTGGACTACTCAGGAGAATTCAAGGATTTCAAAATGGACAGGCCATTTTTATTTTTCATAAAACATGAAATTACTGGATCTCTTCTCTTTTGGGGCATAATTGTAGACCCAACAAATGGAAATGCATGAACATTTGATACTTTATCAAGCAAGATATTTAAGACAGTGCCAAATAGAAGACTTAATAATGCACAGCCTATAAAACAATTCACCGTAAAAGTACGGATTGTTTTTATGTACAGTGGTAGTTTTTGAAGTTCTTAACAGCGGAGGCTGTGAACAGTTGTCTTATTGGAACATAATAGCAGTGAAAGTCAGCCTGACAACACGACACTTCATCCATAAAGATTTATTTTCAGTAGCATTAATAATTCCTATNTCTAATCAGTATGTAAACAATACACATTGTAAGTAGTTACTATAGGATTCTGACGATGGTGTATAACACACTGATATGTTAGGATTTTGGACTTTATCCATCGTCCTGGTTTTTAAGATAACAAATAAAAACAAAGTGTTTTTATTTGTTATCTTAAAAACCAGGACGATGGATAAAGTCCAAAATCCTAACATATCAGTGTGTTATACACCATCGTCAGAATCCTATAGTAACTACTTACAATGTGTATTGTTTACATACTGATTAGAATGTCACGTTACCATTAACACTGGTCACAAAATATATTTATTGGAAGGTGTTCCGACTGCTGAGTAGTCACTTTGTTTCCTTATGTTTTATATCTTATCATGCAAATTGATCCGCTGGTATATATTGTTTGATAAATCGTTTGGTAGGCAAATTAATTTCAAAATTAAATTAAAATTTACATAATTAAGGTGTTACTTTTTCAGTTCCCTATAATTATGCTGGCGCTGTTTATTCTCTTTAATATGTCTTTGTATCGTTTTTAGTATTGTCTGCTGCTTATTACAGTTTGACATCTGCATCTGAAAATAGCGACGAAGTTTGCATAAATTATGGCAATTTGTATGAGTCAGATGTTATGGTAATTATATATTGCATATTAGGTGTCCGTTATGTGGATTTAGAACAGAACTGCATTCAGATTACAGATGGTGTGCGTTTTGTGAGTGTTATGTTGGAAGGAGTGTTGTTGCTGATAGGAGCGAGTTGTAGCTTTGCAAGTAATGGCTTATTATGCCGATATAGGCTTGTTTTTTATGGATATTTTTAATAATCCGTGATACGTGAAGTATTCTGTAGTGTTAATTGTTTTTCGCTTCAATTCTCCTTCTACAATATCCGTGGAATTTGTTGTATGGCTATAAATATCTTACACTTACTATGTGATACAAATAAATATCCTAAGCTGGCATTGTTGTTAATGTTTGGTTATGTTCATTGTTGTTTTGCCACATAGATTCCGACACAAAAAATCATATCTCAATGCTGTCATCAAATTATTGTGCAGTACGCCTTGCGACCAATTTATTACTACGAATGCAGGGGTGAGACGCCCAAATTTCTTATTCTTGTTCCAACGCTGCCACCATAATTTGGAATATTCCATCTGTCACCAGCTAAACATCTGTGGATAGCTCCTACCCCATCCAGTGACATAATTATTACGAATACTCCAATAAACACTAAATATGTTAAAACGAATCAAATATAAACCAGCAATTACATACGTACAGCCTATTAACACAATCTGTGATTATACACCCTGCAAGAACCTCTTAAACCTTAGTATCCCTAGTCTACTGAACCTGCATGGCATAAACCAAATTTCTGTACTCTGAAGTCGTTAAACCAAAATTATCATGTAATAACAGTGAACTAAAACCATCATTCGCTAATCAAAATTTATACCTTAACAATAAACCAAATTTGTATACCCTCACAATCAACAAAATATTACATACTGACACTTAATTACTGAACCACAAACGAAAATTTATGTAATCTAATAATTGATCAGAATTTACACTTCAATTCATTAGCCAAACTTATACCCTAATTTAATTGATAAATTTTACCCTAACACTCGATTAAGAAACAAAAATCCATAGCCTAATACTTATTGAAGCAGAATTATTTATTAATAATCAGTGGACCAAAATTATGTAACAGCGAATCAAATTCATACTCTAACCATCATTCGTTAACCAACATTTATATCTTAACAGTAACCTAAAATGTGTACGCTAACCATCGATAAGTGACCCACACTTCATCCCTTAACGCCAATAAACCGTGTTCTATATCGTGACACTCAACGACTAAAAGGAGGTATTTTCAACAAACCACTAGAAAATCAAATGTTATGTCCCAAACTTAATTACTAAACCAAATTCTTGCATCTTAATCACTTAATAAATAAAAATTTGCACATTCTCATAATCACCCAACAAAACAAAATTACTCTTTTTACACTCGAAAGTTTATATGCTAAAATCATTTAACCGATTTTATCCTAAGAATTCATTAACTAACCAAAATCATTGAACAAGGAGTTACATATAAACAACCATCAGTGATCCTATATTTAAAGGATCAATTAACCATTTTCTTTGTTCTAACATGCAACCAATAAACCAAATTTTATGTCTTAGCACTTAATACATGAAAAAGATATGCGCTCTAAGAACCAACAAATCACATTTCCTAAGCTAACAATCAGTGGACCGGACACAGGCAAGTAACTCACGCGACCAGACGAGTCGCAGTATAAAGATGGCCGGCACGCCATCTCGAAACATTCGCACCGGCTTTCCACACAACTGTTCCGAAGGACTCGAGTCAGAGTGGTCTTCTCCTGTCCGGACCCCCAGCATTCAACACCATAAGAATTCCGCGCACTCAAAATCCTAAAATCGGCTGATTCCTCCTGGCCGATAACCTGCCTGCCGTGAGAAAGCTTGCAGACTTGCTTTTGTGTCGTTCGCCTGATTTGTCAGTAATTTCTATAAACTATGGCTAAGGGATGCGCTACTTCTAAAGGTGATCTCAACCCTGGTTTCCGGCTGACCAACCTGTGGTTCACCTAACGCATTTCAATTTATAAAACTTCTAATTATTTTCTGATAAAATAAAATCGATCCCTTGTTAAATAAAATATACCCGTTTATATCCTGGAGCACAACACTGTATCTGGTCTTAAAAGTCTGGTCAGTATGGGAATCCTAAAATGTTTATGCTTGCATGGACTGCGTGTACTCTACCAATGTACAGATACTTATTTTTGTCTTAAATTTTTATTTTTCTATTTAGAAATAAGTGTACGAGTTTATATGAATATTTTATATTTAAAATATTACATTACGGTTACACTGAATGATAAAATATTAGGGGCATATGTATAAACGTGCAAATTCATTATTGAATGGACTGCGATGTGTTCATGAAATTTTTCAAAAGAAATCTGTACTACTATCATTTCCTGTCAATACATTGTGATTGTTTTTCATGTAGCGCCTGATTTGTTCCTACAAAAAAAAATTGTTACTTGAAATACATAAGACTAAAGTTTATATAAATGAAGTACCTGCTAAATCATTGGCTGATTAGTTTTGAATTCAAGAAATGACTACAGCTACTGATGTATATCAAACTTTTGTATTCCTATACGTAAAAGGTAAAGTTCTCCGTGTGACTTAAAGGCGTATGGGGGAGTGGTTGTATAGATCCATATTTTCTTGACCTCGGCGCTAGCTAACTGGAGTTGAGTGGTCAGTTTCACGCCCCGGCCGCTTTACCCTCGAGGTAAGATCCCTCCGTTACCCATCGGATAAAGATAAGAGTGGACCTCGGCATCGGTATGGAGGACATGGAGAAGGAAAATTTCTTTATCCTACGGTGACTCGAACTCCGTACTCTTCGGTCGTGCAGCCCGTAGGCAGTCTCTATACCGACTGAGGTATCCTTTCTTATATGACAACATGAAATATTTGACATAAAAATATGAATTTGTAAATAAACTGAAATACTAACAAATATTAGTGTCCTTGAAATTCCAAATAATTTATTTATAAAGAAACTAATTTTATTGCAATTAAAGATATTTAAAATAGTAATTTAGGTATATGCTTACTTTCAAAGGAAATAGATGCTTTTTTCCTTAAAATCATATATGATGAGTCAATCATTCATACGAGGAAATGTTTTCTTCAGTAATACAATCTCATTATTCGTTTGTATGTGTAAAAAGATAGAACCGGGATAGCTCAGTATAGTCACTGGCTACGATGTGGATGGCCGAGGTTCGATTTCAGGCATGGGATTTTTTTTTTCTCTTGATAACATCCAGACCAGTTCTGGGGCTCAGTTATATGAACCTTTATTGGGTACCAGGACTTGTTTTCCCGGGTGTAAAGCGGTCGGGTCGTGAAGCTGACTACTCATCTCGAGTGCTAAGACCAAGAAAGGTGGAGCTACACCTCCAATTCCCAGCATGTTTCCATGATGTGATATTAATTAAACACAGTGACAGTTGTAACTATACATCGTACAGGGGTCAGAAAGAGAGTCTATCAGGAAACCATTGCTCTAACCTCCAGAATTTGCTTTTATTTACCTTCCTACATGTTTATCCGAACTTGGGCGCATCATGATGCAAATCTGCTCTGACATCACGTGATTCAGGTCCCATTCATGTATAACGTATCCAGCGGCATGTGAGGTCACATCACACAGGCTCTAGCTGTGTTCCATGGACGCGGTGTGTACAGTTATGTTACACAAAGCCTTTAAAAATGTAGACGGCTGTCTAAATACTAGGGGCCGCGCTTATTCATAATCAAATCGTAAAATCGGTATATTGAAAAGGTACAAAATTTGTTAAAAAAACTGTTTTAAATATGAAAACGACAGCCGAAGGGAGCTGCAGAACCGTTGGCAGAGCCACCTACCGGCCGAGTCCCTATCACAAATGGCGTTCATTTAAGTTAGGCAGAAATCAGATTCGTGTACGTCCCACTTCGAGTCTGTAAACATTAAGGACCTTTTTTTTTTTTTTTGAAAACGCATCCAGTATTCCTACGCGAAATTTGAAATGCCATGTACAGTCATTTTAAAGCAACAAAATTTCACTGCTCAGATTACTATGTAGAGTTGCAATGACGTTTCTGTATGGAGATTTACTACTTATCAAAGAGAACACATGCGTTTATTGGCATTTTATTTTAAATAGTGTTTTGAAGGCCGCGCCATAGCTCAAGCGGTTAGTCGC